ACGCCGGCGCACACCTGATATCTATGGTCGGCCTGCAAAATTTGGGCTACCGATATCCATGCTGAAAATTCCATACTTGTACCAAAAATACAGTGTGGAATCAAGCTGTAAATCAAAAATTAAAAAAAAAAATTAAAAAAAAAAAATTAAATTGCATTCTGCTCTCAGAGTGCTCTATTCTAGGGGTGAGATGTAATAGACTGGTGAACTTGCTCATAGATTGATTGACACTAGTATTTACCAGTTTCAGGATATCATCAAACTTTGGCTCGAAACCCTCATCCTCCATACGGGAGCTTATCTTCACCCACTTCCTTTGCAGTCGAGTAGGTAGGCGTCTCGCAATTACCTCTAGGACTGAGCTGGAGTTGAGGTCACACATGCGATTCATCGAAATCATTGCATTCTTGTAAATTAGCAAATTATATAAAAACTCAGTGAGTGCCTGGGAGTCATCCTGTAATTGACCACCATTACCCTTAACAGCCTCGAATAATTTCCCTGCAATCATCGAAGGTCTTCCAAACCTTTGACGTAATATGCTCATAGCCTCATCGTAGCCCTCTTTTGGCTTCATAAACTTACAGCACTGTATAGCTCTTGCAGCATCTCCAGTGCAATATCTCATCAAATACATTAACTTCAATTCATCACTTAATAGAAAACTACTCGACATGATCTCAAACTCCTTTACAAATTGTAAATAATCAGCTGGGTTTCCATCAAAACACCGTGGTTCTAATTTAGGGAGTTTGATGTTCCTATTATCCCTGAACGGCGAAACAGTAACATCAACCATATCATGCTTAACATCAGACACATCGTTACAATAAACAGACAAGTCACAATGACTTACTTTCCTGTTTGCATCCAAGACACTCTGTCCCTTCTTTGACCCAGGCATTGTTGAACTTCACCCAATTCCAAAATAGTTCCAGATATTGCTTGTTCAAAGAGGACTTGACCGGCACCAGGAAAGATGAAAGGTGACTATCCAAACTTTCACCAACTGTCTGAATCCGCCAAATCTGTTTCTACCATCAGAAACTGTCAGTCACGTCTCATAAACCGTTAGTGCCCAGCTCTTGCTACGCTCGGGCTCACGCTGTTCCTTGAAGTTTTCAGAAACGCTTAGTAATAACGGACGCAAAAACCAAAACACCGATTGGCCACTCGAGAATTCTTTATTGTTACACCAACATATACAAATAATGTTTTACTAGGGTCTGTGAACAAATATTACAATAATAAATCACAATATTACTTCTGATGGTTGTCTCCTGACTTCTTTCTGAACAGCGACCGATGAGACGATGACTGTCGTATTGATGCCTCCGCGAAAATTGGGGAAGTTGGTTTTGGGCAAACAACCACGAATTGATCGTTCAATCTTCGACTCCATTGACACATTTGAAGCTGAGGAAATAGGTGTGAATAAATCGTAGTTTTCACCATGCAGATAACTTAAAACCGTAATGTTTCAAGTAAATTGAAGTGGCTGGGATATAAGTAGATATTGAAAGTATGACAGCAGTAGTACAGGATGGTAGAAGATATCTTGCGGCCGCTTACATTCCTAGTTTAAGTAGTGCATATGCCATATAATAGGTGATTTTTACGCATGTGATGAAAAAGGAGTGGCAGTAAAATTTCTCGAGTTTAAACTTCTAATTGAAGTAGGAATGTTTTAGAATGGGATTAATTCACTAGTTGAGCTGGATATATTCAGACTGAAGGGAATAACCAGTCATTGGAATACATTCTTTGATTTAAATTTAATCATCTTTACCTTGCTTGTCACCGAGATGTGTTACCAGTAGCAGTGAAGTGACAAAACACGCGAGGAATGTTGCTGCTCACGATAGTTTGGGTTAGTTATTAATTAAACTCAGCGCACTTATCATGAGGGAGACAGTGTAAAATGGTGAACGGTCGGCTAGATTGGTAAAACTATGGAGTGTGCTGTTTCAAGCACTAGTTCTGTGGCAGTAACCGGTGGCTAATGTATCAGCTATGATTAACTGGCTGTTCAAATAGCCCTCAGATTTGTCCAGTTTAAATATATTGCTTTTCATAGCGTTAATGAATCTCTGAGATCCCTATTTTCTTATCAGTAACTATAGGTCAATCAAGACACTGCTTAAATGGATACTTGAGTACATTGTGCTTAGTAAGGGTGGTGAAGTTTGATATTAACGATGCGAACACCTCTGGAGTCCCATTAGAGGTGCAGTTCAATCTGAGAGTTCGTGCGCTGAGTCAATCTAGACAAATGAACGTCGCCGTTACTTAACACTACATCCCAAAGGGTCAAAAACATTGTTCTTAATGAAAAACGGAATAATCTTTGTCAACTGAAGTGTTAGAAAGTGTTTATCAGACTTGTGACATTGCAGCCAGAAAAAAGCCTGTTGTCAGCATTCTTCAGTCATAGAAATTATGTGGATTAGATCTAGCTCAGAACATAGCAGAACAGTTCAAGAGGTTACTTCAACAAACGGACACCCTGGATAATAATTAAAGTATTCTAGGAATACACAAAAACGCTGGAGAAATGGCAATTTATATCTCCAGAGCCTTCACACGGGAATTCCCGCCACTCCTATTATTAATTGTGCGCAAAGTAAAACGACATCGACCAAAACATAGAATTCTATTCTCCTTCGTACTGGATAGGGGGAAATCATTCCTCACGTGGGGCTTCTCACTGAGCTGGCACCCCATGTAGCCGACCCACTGACTGTCATTCTCAAGTCGTTCCTCCCACATAATGCGACTTAATGACTCGAAGTAAGTAGTAGCAACCCTTATGGGGCGTAGATGACCCTTTAGAAATTCAGAAGAGTGGGATGACCAACCGAGTAGAAACTAAACCTTCCTTATGTTTGTCTTTCTTTATATGATGAAAGATGAATGACCCACTGTGTGTTTGAGTACATTTCCCCCTCACTTGTACTCCGTCAAGCTTTCGCAGATAAAGTTTCAAAAAACATAATCAGCCCTGTATAAAAATATAAGCTGCATAATTATTTTGTTAGAAAATTTGGTTTCTAAACCCTTACATGTGAGGTAGGATCCGGACATTAAGCTTCATTTGCAGGCTTATTAGCCTTCCCAACACCTTGACCAAGATATCAGAAAGAATATCCGAGGAAACTATCATAGCGCATCTGGAAAATAACGACACTCAATCTTACTGCCACACATAAGACTGATGGTGAAATTGTAAATTTTGGATAAAAAGGCAGCCTGCCCAACTGGACCGAGCATTTTTATTTTAGAAGTAGACACCATGAACGCGAACTGATGGTGTGCATGAGAAAGTTGCCTTAGCCTGCAAAATCTCCTCCGATTACTTTTAGAATCAGCTTCAAAATACAGGGATAGATGGAGACGACAGTGGCACCTTTTTGCCGCAAAGGGCTTTCAGTCAATAATTTCTTGGGTCAGTCTAAAGAGGAGGTTCCTCGCGTTAAAGTAGCCCAATTTGCAATCATGAGTGTCAGAACCCAACGTCAGCAGATGGAATTTGCTGGGAAAACAATTTTAGTCCAAATGCAGACTTACCTAGGTGTAACAACAAGTCACGGCTTAAAAATCAGGGCGTGTTATAGCACAGTTGCAGCTTGCAGCTTTGGGCCTTTACGGAAAAGGCGTCAGGCTTTACTGGAACCATCATTGAGATTATCACCATTCAATTCGCGCTTTTAATTAGGATAAAACTAGGAAACAACCTACAAGGTGCCAGCCCTTGTGAAGAAGGGAACTAATATTCCTAAAGCAGTTCGAAGGGTCACACTTACAATCTCTCGCGTGAAAAATTTGTCGTGCAGTAAAATAGTTGACATCTTTAATCTCTCCTTCTAATCATATCGTAATTACAGAGGTTTAACTGTGGTGTTCAAAGTTCTAAAAGATTACTTTGGAGGTGATCTGTCTTCTCTCTTACCTTCCCTTTCAGGGAACACAACAGGTTGCTGAATAAACAGGGAGGAAACGTTTACCATCAAAGTAATGGTTAACACATTTAGACACTAACTCTTGGAACCAAATACTCTTCAACTGACTCCTAACGAACGGGCCGGACAATATCCAATATCCTGCTCAAATATTTATTAGAAAATGATTAAGATGTGGTTGAGGCTTTCTATCCTCCGCTGAAAGTACGAGATCGCATCTTGTTTTCATATTCTTCGTGGTTGTTTGTTGTAGATTCGGAAAACTTTCTTTTCGATTATGAAGGATTTTTACCTGTTTGAATTTGAAACCACTGATTCAGTTACCTTACCGATTATGTCGTTGCCGTATCTCTTCGAATCAACTCAACATCTTGGTATGTATGTTTCATTTTCTCCCCACCGTTTGAGATTAGACTTTGATTGAACTTTAGGGGCTGAGTGTGTTGACGTTCACGCGAAGTACTGTATTTACTAACGCAGGATCTACTACACGCGACTTCTATAATATTCGTCCCGCGTAGACAAAAGGCAAAGCAAAAACTTCAGAATTGATTGTCCAAATTACAACTTATATTTCGGGACCAAAATGGAGTGCTAGATGATTGCTTAACTAGTTAGGGACCGTGCACGAACGAACGAACGCAACATGACAGAGTAACAAGTGGCTAGTTACTTGACTGTCAGCTTTCAGCCAAACGAGTAGAATTAAACAGTAAGGATCAGCATCCGATGTTCACTGATAAACTCGGTGACTAATAATTTTGAGGAATTATCAACCACTGCACAACTGGATGAATATATATGACTGCAAAACGTCTGAAGGTATATTTTTCGTTAAGACAAATTTCCCCACTGAACAAACATTTGTCGCTCACTTCTATTAGAAATTATACCTAAAATAAGAAGTAATACACACCCATGGACAAAATTGAATGAAGGTAGGACTCAAGGATGATTATGGTACTTTGTGCACATAACAATTTGGTATTGAAATTATGTGACCTCGTCACTTCCTGAGGGGAGTCTAAATCAAGCGCGAACATGAATCCTGGATTACCATGTGATGATTTCCTTCAGTCGGCAGTAAGCTAGCAGCTAATAGTTAGGCTATATTTGATGACTTGAAATTCATAACTGTTATTCAGAAATTGCTCAATTTATGGAGAAAGTCTGATGATCGTGTGAGGTATGAGCTTAATGCTCAGATACCGACGGTGTCATTTCAAAATAAAGTAGATTGTTCTACGAAATGTAGCGAATTCATCGAAAAGGTAAATACTGTCATGCTTTTTGTCATTATTTTAGATGCTGACAGATCATGAGGGACGCAGTAAAGCTATCAAGGATTGTATCCGATATTCAACTGACAAACTTCACTCATTAAATAGTTCTTATTCTGAAAACAGTGACGATATGAACAAGAAACAAATAACACGTGAAATAAAAAAGAAACAGCTCCTGGTAATTCATGTGCTTTTTTATATGATTTTTATAGCTACGACAATTTCAAAGTGAATTGTTGGAAGAAGAAGTAATTCAGACTGCAGCTTTAAAAGTGATATATGAACGTTGTCGTGAACATTTAAGGCATCCTATTTTTGAAAAATTTAAGTGATGATTCTTATTATGAAAAATTTCAACTAGGCTTTTCTCTATAGTAACTTGATTACTCAATGTACATGTGTGTTTGATTTACTGTAACATTTCTGCGCGTAGCATTTGTACTGAATAATTTGATTCTTTGTATTTTATTTAATTACTACATAAGTAGGTGCGTATTGGGTATCTTTTATTCCTGACATTATTTTTAATTGTGAATCGGGTGTGCATCTGTACCACGTTAATCAGTTGCTTTTCTGGCGACGTTAAACCAACTCGGTTCTTGACTTTCGAAAACCAACTGAAGTTATAGATGATACAACCAGATCAAATTATTTCTCCACTGGATTTGCATTACGACTTCTAGGAACACCGAGTTCATGGTTACTGAGAGAATAACGGATTACCTTGAGCAAGTATGACACTAACACAGATCCCCGCTTGAATTCCTTCACTTTGGAGAGATCCTTTCACGTTTACTTATCTTGGAAGTAATTGGGGTTACTAAAACATACATATCTAGGGAGTTCTAAATGAGACAGATGTTATTCGTGAGGATTCAGATTCCGGATTAGATAAAAGGACAAATAATAGTATGTTCAAATATCAGAATGTGATCGGCAGTCATCTTTTTAATAATTCTTCGACTTATTGTTCTTTAATTCTGACTAGCTTCTAAAGGTCAGGTCAGTCAGTTTGGCTGATGTAGTTAAACTTTGTCGCTTACTCAGGCTGTAAGTACTGTAGGCGAAATCAAAAGAACACCGGAAAAATAGGATCTCGAAACTGACATATGCAGCTAATAAGGAACTGAGGTTATACAAGGATGGAATTTGGCTATATATATATATATATATATATATATATATATATATATATCAACCAACGACTGAACTAGAAACTGGGTACGTTTGATAGCCAGCACAGCAGAAAAGTGAAATCGCTAGTTGGAACCTCTTGAATATATAATATTAAATAAAACCTCAAGATGCCATGAGATTGTCTGTCAGATTCCTGGCACTTCAAATTTTATCATTCTAGTATCCATCTATATCCTTTCAATTTAATTCTCTTCTAATGGTTAGAAGGTGCTCGAAAGGTTTTGAAGTCTCCTAGTGCATCTTGACTACGGATAACTTTCCATCCGATTATATTTATTGGCAATATGTTATGACTTCAGTAATGTTATCCTCATTCAAGATATCTGAACCTTCACAGAAAAATGATAGGGAAAATTCAATGTCTTATGACAAAAGAAACAATACTCCTTTGGATGACAGCCTATGTCCACCAGTTAGTTTAAGCCACGTAGAAAGGTATAGACTTCCTGACTGGTTGGGGTCTTCGGGACGGTAAAAACCAATTAAAGCTGGAGACAATCGGCGATATGGCTCAAAATCGTTGTCAATTGCGCAGATGCATCCACCCCTCGTGATTTATGATATCCAGTAAAACTATGGTTCTTCGATATTTCTATTCTTTTTGCCTCATATCTCTGTTTTGCATTTCTTTTACTTCTCGCTTTTTCTGCTGAATGAAGTGTGGCGACTCGGACTGATGCACGTTGGTGCAAAGTTCTACGGTGAAACCAGTCATGTCCTATAAAACTTTAGCCTTATCATATTTGGAACGTTAGCTCAGTAGCTACCTTATAAGATCAACGATGTTCCCCGTTTTAGTCATACTTCTGTTTGGATATTCTGTCTACGATATACGCTACTGGTGCCCATAATGTAATAAGTTTTGAAGAAAAAATGAAAGTACACATTATAACTTAAACCTCATGGCTGGCTTCCAACGTAGAACTCTGAACAGAATTACGGCAGTTCAAGTTCCAGTTGCTGCACTCCATGTGTCACACATTGGTAGTGAAGAAAGAAATTCAAAAGTAGCGTAGTGAGGAGAAATATATGTTCCAAGAAACACTAGCGCGGAATAAATAAGAGGGTGTAGTGAATATTGGAGTTCACAAAAAACTGAATGCATCCGCAATATTAAAAACCGTTAAGAGCTACATCACCAATAGTATCCAGCCATTAACCCTAAGCATCTTGAGGCCTCCAGACACGGAATTCTATACTTAGCTGTCTGCGACAACCTGTGAGAAACTTCTTAGATTGTTGCTTGGTTTTGGTCCATCCAAGTCTAACAGTTTTCCAACATAATCCTAGCTAACATTTTATTTGTTGAGAAGGTTGTTAACTCGGCATGTGTAATACGTGTCGTAGCCATATCCATTGGTGTAGCTCCACAATTTCATCGACTGAGATCCCCTCCCTTACACGTAGCAGTCTACTCGGGTTTGAACTCTGCTCCACCTGTTTCAGTTTGTTTAGAAGTATCACTAGCCTTCATACGATAATTGTGGGTCTTTACCTGTTTCATGAAAAATTTATTCTGGGTAATTAAGATGTTAAAAAGTCCCTAGTATCACTCACCAACGCAGAACCCCCTGACCATAAAGACTAATAGCAATACATACATTTCAAACAACATTTTTGCATAGTATGAAACTCTTAGTACACATTACTTCATTTTCTCTTCGCGTTACATAGTTAAAAGGGAAAATAATTGTAGAACCTTCTGATTTTAATAATTATGACAACAATATATTGATAAAAGCCGCAGTGAAAACAGTTTTCAAGAGTTGGCTAGTAAGGATTAGATTTGTTTTTTTCCTGTTTAACCACGGTGTGATACCAGTTAGAGTTTCCTGGAGTTCTAGTGAGAAGATGTGACCAGTGAGGTTCATCCAGCCAGGTGTGACGATGGATTTCCCACCGATGACATTGATTGGTGATCGCGCAAAATCATTAATTGGTAGAAGTTATAATTCATGGACTAGCCATTGAGTCGGGTCTCAGTGGCAGAATCGTATACGAACTTGCCTTGTAACTGGTAGGTCCTGGGTTCGAACCGTTGCGGCAGGTGCGCACTGCCGATGATTTCCAAACTAGGACGTAGGAAACAGCTGTCCAGTACTCCCTGGTTCTCAATGGTTCTTCAACTGATTTAAATCCGAGGTCGAACGTTAAAACAATTGTTTATTCACCGTCCGGAAGGAGACTACTAACACTTTCATATTTATTTTTTTTTTGATTACAGCTTGATTCCATACCGTATTTTTGGTACAAGTATGGAATTCTAAGCATGTGATATCGGTAGCCCAAATTTTACAGGCCAACCATAGATATCAGGTGTGCGTCGGCAGGGAATCGAACCTCGGACCATGTGTATGGTCGGCGAGAGTCCTAACCACTGCGCCACAGACGCACAGTTTATTAGATATATCACACGGTGAAATAGTATTATTTACCGGATGACGTTTCGAACAAAATTTACGGTTCATAATCATATCAATTATAATCACACGACTTCGAAACTTGAGTTTTATAGTCTTCTTTGTCCTCTCCTATTGGTCGTAAGAGTAATAGAATTTTCCAGATATCCAGCTTGACAGGTATTGAATGATTCCTATCACACATATTTCCAGTTGATTCGATATATAAAGCTTCCGTTACCAATCTCTACCTCCATCCTGTGACATTAGATTTTAAAACTGTCGTCTTATTCCATCCTATGGCATGGTTCCGTCTAATTCCATGTAGTGAGCGTTATAGCTGAACCATTCTCTAGATTTCTTATCTTACTAGGGTTAACTAATCTAGATTTTGCTAGGTTTTTATGTTCTGCTAGTCTGACTGCACCTGTTCTACTGGTTTGACCTGACAATCATTGCAGGCTGGACATTAGATAAACTAAATTGTTTTGTTTAATTGGCTCCACGGGATCAACACTTTAACCGAGAAAACTAGTTTCTAATTGAGTTTGTGGGTTTGAATTCCACTTTTATTCCTGCCTTGTTAAGAATTCTGCGTAAGGTTTCCGAGGTCCCTTCCTTGTATGGAATTACTACTGATTATTTAGATTCCTTATTGTTGGTGTCGTCATTGATATTAGCATTATTGTTATTATTATCACTATTACTACTATCATTATTTATTTTATTTTTGCATTTCCCTACATACTTTCCTACTAATTTATCAGAGTAATTACCCTGTTTCACATATCTCGAAAATCCGACTACCCCAACGACGCGAAATAGGAGAGAACAAAGAAAACTATAAAACTCAGGTTTCAAATTCGTGTGATTACAATTGATGAAATGAACAATAAAGTTTGTTCGAAACCTTGTCATCCAGTAAATAATACTGTTTCACTGTGTGGTATATCTAATGAACAGACTAATATGAAATTACTTACTACCACAGTGCCCAAGTTTTACACATATATTAGTAATGCTTCTTTCTTCATCCAAAATTTTCGCCAGATACTTTGTTCTTTGTTTTTTATATATTTAATCCTACAAATGTAGCGTTTTTATTAAAAAAGAATTGCTTCTTTTTTCATCCAAGTAGATGTATGATAAAAACTGTAAATAAAGAGGGTAGGTATTCGAAACCTAAAAATGACCTCGATTAATTTCTTGCATAATTTCAACCAACGATATGGCCTCTTGGTAGCCTGGAAAGAATAAGGTCGAATAGTAAATAATAATGGGCAAAATGCTGGAGTTAAACAATTAATTGTGAGTCTAGAGGCTGAGTTTTACTTGAGTATCTTAACTTTCTTACATGCAGTATTGAGCAAGATATTTTTCTAGAAATCGCTAAGATATGCGACAGTTAGAAAAGGTCAGAAGAGAGGCTTAGTCCTAGATACTTCATATTTAGCTTGATCCTTACCTTCACAACTTTCTACGTTACAAGAGTCATGAGCAGAGACTAATTAAAATGCAGGTTATTTTCCTACATTAGCACCTGAAATTTAGCTTAAGACCATTTGACAAGGACTACTAGCTAATTTTTGATATAGGGTTATGTAGTGTGTACAGATAAGACGCGTGACAATGACAACCAGTGTGGAGTAATCCTACTTCTGTCTGGAATTTAGTTGGACAGCTTACAACTGGTTACATGATACACACGACCAACAGTTTGTAACTTCATGGATTAG